GTTTTTAGGTCGAGGGAGACATGACTTTGGCTGAAGCGGCCAAAGTGGTGGTCTACACGTGTCCGGTGGACACACAGGCGACCGAAACAAAGGGAACAGTACTTATTAAGTCGGCCGACGAGTTGATGAACTTTAGTCGCGGCGAAGAGAGTCTACTGGAGTCGCAGATCAAAGGAATCGCCGATTCGGGCGCTAAAGTGGTGGTCTCTGGCGGAAAGTTTGGTGATTTGGCCCTTCATTACTGCAATAAATATAAGTTATTAGCCGTTCGTCTGATGTCTAAGTTTGATATCCGACGGCTGGCAAAGACGGTGAACGCCACGCCTTTGGGTAAACTTATCGCTCCCACTCGTGAAGAACTCGGCTTTTGTGATAAAGTGTTTATCGATGAAATCGGCGGAACAAATGTCGTTGTATTTGAACAAAAGGCAAAGGAGTCTCGGGTGGCGACGATCGTCATCAGGGGTTCGACCGATAATATCATGGATGACATTGAGAGAGCCATCGATGACGGCGTCAACACATTTAAGGCGTTGACACGAGACGGACGACTTGTGGCCGGTGGCGGTGCCGTTGAGATAGCGATGGCCCGACGTATAGCCCTATACGCGGAGACACTGCCCGGACTCGAACAGTATTCGGTCGGGAAGTTTGCCGACAGCCTCCAGAGCCTACCGGTAGCGCTGGCCGACAACGCGGGCATTAAGTCAACGGACATGATATCGCTGTTACAGACGGCCCACCAGAACGACAAAAGCACGACCGCTATCAACATCGACAGCGATGTGGCCGCTGTTGTCGACGCCATTGAAGCCAATATTTATGACTTATATTTAACGAAATACTGGGGAATAAAGTACGCGACGGATGTGGCCAACACTATACTACAGGTCGACCAAATCATATGCTCGAAACCCGCCGGCGGACCCAAACCACCCAAACAGGGCGGCGATTGGGATAAAGACTAACCGCACCGACAGTTTTATAAACATTTTTAATTGATTAATATTAAGAAAAGTTTCATTTTTATATGTTTTTCTTTCTCAAGACTAAAACAATTCTTAATTTTTTGTTTTCCCAAAACGCTCTCAAATTCAGACTAACAAACAATGGCTTGAAATATGATTATGTTTTTTAAATTTTTAAACAGAAAATAAATCCATTGGTTTAACGAAATGAAATGTTTGTTATTTTAATAATTATTTTGATGATAATTATGAATAATTTACATAAAAGTGTAATTTAAAAATGAGAATAAAAACGTGAAAATACTTGTAATCACAGCATTTAAATATAATTGCGATATTCATCGGAATATCTGGAATACAATCTTTCATTAATCCGATTTTCATCCACACTATCGATATGTTTGTGTGTTTTTCTTCGTGTCAATCATAGGATGAAATTAAAANTACTTGTAATCACAGCATTTAAATATAATTGCGATATTCATCGGAATATCTGGAATACAATCTTTCATTAATCCGATTTTCATCCACACTATCGATATGTTTGTGTGTTTTTCTTCGTGTCAATCATAGGATGAAATTAAAACAAAATAATTTAACAATAGATAGATTGGCGTAAACTTCAATTCATATGGAAAAATAAAACCAAAGCTTTTGATGCAAAAATTGTGACTTTCCTTAAAAATATATTCCGATTTTAATAATAATATGACTAACAATTGTGATATAAATGTTGCAAACATATCGATGGCTATTTAAGTACATTTATCGTGTAATTATATGGTTATATAACAAGGATTTGGATTTCTTATACGTTAACTCACATTCAAAAGCTCCGGTTTTTTGGGAATATATGTCGTAAGACATATCAGACATTGGGCTGAAAATTGTTTCACAAAAATTCTGGTTTTATAACAAAATTTTCAGTGATATCTGTGTGTGTTTTTTGATGCCATAAATACATATATTTTATGAAAAGTTTTTCAGAAACCGAATAAATTAAAGTAATTGTGATTTTTAAGTATGGATTCAAATGAAACCTTTTATACTTTAGTTCAGTGAACAATACGATCAAATTTTGTATATATTTAACAATTTGTGACAATTCTTGTAATATTTTAAATAATTATAAAAAATGATAATACATTCAAATGTTTGCTACACTTTTCCATGTGTTGTCTCGAAAATATTTGTCATTTTTTATATTCTTAATACATTATACATAAATTAAATATATTTATAAGTAATTTAATTTACAAATAGATCTGTGAATGGTTAACATGTTTATCATGGTCCATTCAATTGGTTTCAACACATCATTTAACAATGTAATACAAAATACTATGCATTCACAGGTAATAACCATCGCTTTAATACGGATATTATATTAATTGATTTTAAGTACTATTAATATTGTGGTATAAAATGCGGACAAAACTGTGGGACAATTGATAGACATTTTGAGCGATGCTATGAAGTGGAGAGAAATTGACAAAATATATGCTGACGATAAGGATAGACGTGATTGGGATGTGAAGCGCATACCAGCGCTTGAGGTACCGTTCAATCGGTGATCCCAAGCGTTTCCATCATATTTTTGTGATTCATTTGGCAAAAACCAGTCGTCATTTGATATTATTATTTCGCAAAAAATCATGTTTTGCTTCTCTCTCTCTCCCTCTCTCTCCTTTGCTTTCATTCTGACGGAGATATTAGCGTATATTTAGCGGTGAAGTGTTGGGAAGTGTTGTGTTGGCCATTAGATATTTGCAACCCTTCATAACATGACAACAAACTGGTAAAATAGTGGCAATACTACCAGTGCTTCACACACTCCGCCTCATGCACTCTGGGAGTGAGAGATGTGTTGAGGATAACGACCCGCGGCTGGAGTTGAGGGTCTGTAGGACTTTATTGATAATAAATAAGTGCCGCATATTTTTACTCCTCTCTCGTATTCAACCAAATGGTTGTGTAATTACACGAGAATTCGTTAATTCTTGAGTCGTGTTAGCCTTTGATATGTGTTTAGATATAACTTATACTAATATAATATAAATACTGTTTTCTATTCTTCATTAACTAATCTTTATAAGTAGTCTCTCTTTTGTTCAGTTAATAACTTTAACACAAAAAACAAATTTAGAAAATTGGGTTTAAATTAATTCGAGTCGAACTTGAATTGGATTTAAAGCACTGAATGTATTATAATTTGGGATCAATTGTTGCAACGAAGACCGCATTGAAGTCTGCATTCAAAGCCGATTTGAGATAACTTTTTTTTTGTTGAAAAACCAAATCATAAGTTCTTGTCGTATAAATATTTAGAAGAATCCGAGTTTCGTTAACACCCGAGTGGTGCGATCGATGAGCTCTTCCTTATACTTAAAGATAGTTGTGTCGCGTGTAGTGTAGGCACGAAAGTCTTTGCAGCTATTCTTCAGGGGTCCGACACAGTCCTTGCGGTAGTGCTGGAGGTGTGCCAACTCTGGGCTTATTGAATATGTAGTGCACGAACCGAAACAATTGAGTGGGAAGTGGTTGTGAAGTGAGACCACCCGTTCGGTGTTGTGGAAACACTTGACATACTGTCCCGGTTTGGTGTAGTTCTTGGACCGATACACGTGCTGAAGCATATGCAGATACCGGGGTATTCCCACCTCGTGTTCCGTGTGTTTCATCTGCTCTTCGCCGACCCCGAGGTCGTCGAGAAAGTAGACATTCCTCACGTTATAAGAGGCGCGCGTATAGTTCTTCTCAGCCAATGATAACTTCTGCACTTCGGCCATAAGTGCGGACCAATTGTTGTGAGCGATTGGCATAATTATCTCATCGATGTCCAAAAGTGCCAAATAGTCATAACTATATAGATTTCGATACAGACAGTCGTTGTATGGGATGAGTTCGTTCTGTCGCTTATGGGTTAACTTATTCTTCAGATACAGGTGCCGAAAGCCGGGCAGATTAGGCTGATTGCCGGGCAGTGTGATTGTGGTCAAGTCGACCACATCCTGCTCTTGATAGTACTTCAATACTTTGGTAATATTCGGATGTGTCTCCAGATTATAAAGAAACACTTTCTTCGCGCCAACCATACGAAGCAATTCAATCCATTCAACTAACCGTACGCTAAGGTCTTCGTGCAAAAAGTCCAGTCCTTTTACACAAACGGCAAAATCTTGTTTAACTTGCGGTCGAGTATTATACACTTTTAAATTATTGGTCGCTTTACTGCACTTGTCCTCCACGAGTGACACAGAGTCGGGTGCGATCTCTTTGGGGAAACCTTTAATTCGCGGTACTTTACATGTTATGATATACGGCTGGAGTACGCCATCCCTATAGTTACCCCATTTGCTATACCATCCGTACACATAAGTGGCCGGTGTTATGACGGGCACTGAGATCTTGTCAAACCATAGTTGACATGTGGTTGGGGGCGGATTCACGCGATCGACCATTGCTAGTATGCGGACCGTCGCGAGTGGCCCTCCTCTCCACCGGTCGTCAAAGTAAGCGCCGTATAAATAGAAAGTGCCGTTAATTGCGGGCATTCGCTGCCAATAAATATTATTGTAATCTAATTCATAGAGGTTTGGGAACTCGACTTTACACGACTTGTTAAACCCATTGCCTATTAATTGTTTTGTCACTAGTTTTTGGTTTTTTCTAACTTTAGCCCAATAAGTGAGCGGAAGGTTTGAGTCGTTGGCCAAAGCGCTCAAAATGTCATTCTCGCTGAGTTGGGGCGAGTTATCCACCTGTGGCTCGACGTTGAATATATTTTTGGCACTGGTGTCGGCTTTAGGGCCGGGAGTTGTGGCCTTCGCTGTGGTAACGGTGACCAGAAAGCCGGACGCGTAATCGAGTGGCACTTTCTGGAGGAGACCCCTGACCTGAGCCGCGTGTCCGTCCACATAGTCTAATGAGCCGTCGTTTTGGTAATTAGTGGCCAAACGAAAGACCAGAAAACAAACACAAGTCCACAGGAAGACGAAATATATGAGCCTTTTATAGGCGCGCGTCGGCAGTAAATACTGAATCATTTGTTGCCCTTTTGTCTTAAAGATACCACTAATTAAGGGAACACTTGATTGATGTGCTAATTGCTAACATCACAGCAAACTCTATGCGGATCTGACCTATAAATACAAACATAAGAATAATGATTATTGTTATCGATAAGCGTTTATTTAATATTTTAATATCTCTATTATTAAAATTCATTAATTTATTCAAAGCAATCCTTTGATGATATAAAGCAATCCTTTACTTCTGTTTGTGAAATAAAAGTGAAACTTTATTTTCGTTTTCTATTCATCTGTCAATCTATTCAATGGATAAGTGATTGAAATCAAGAATTCAATTGTTTGATAGGGAAAAGTGATATGAAAACCAAAATAGAAATGATAATACTGTCAATGATATATACTTTTGCATAACTTATGCATATGTTATACATGTCTGCACCGGTAATAAGACTTCAAAAAGTGATATCGAAAACAAGCGATTCATTGTTATTCATGGAGAGAGAGAGAGAGAGAGAGAGAGAGAGAGAGAGAGAGAGAGAGAGAGAGAGAGAGNTTGCAAATATCTAATGGCCAACACAACACTTCCCAACACTTCACCGCTAAATATACGCTAATATCTCCGTCAGAATGAAAGCAAAGGAGAGAGAGAGAGAGAGAGAGCTAAAGAAAGAAAAAAGTGAGTGAAACAGTTTGTTTGAAAAGAGTTGGTACGAAGAGGTGAATGCAATGCCATTAACCCATATATTTGATAATTCATTACTGTTTTGTTAATTTAATTCAGAATTAACTCTTACTAATGATGTGTTTGTTAGACGTTTGTTAAGGGATTTGCGATTACAATAACAAGTCGTGGGATTTAGTCTTTCATTTCATTAAAATATAAAAATAATTCAAATTTTCATTTCTAAAAATAGCCAATAAAACAGCCATAAGAATAGACTCATTAGGGATTGTAGTAAAAAGTGTATT